GAGCGGGGATTTATGTATAGATCTATTCGGGGATGACACCCCACACCTGAGTTGTTCGCTACAGTTAGACTAAACCAGTCTAGGGTGACGAAAACCTTATTCTATTTTCCGTCGGCGTCCATAAACGCCAAGACAGGCGAAATTGTCATTATCGAGTACGGTTATAACGACTCACTTAGAGGAATTAACATTATGAAATTTACGGGAGACCATTATCTTTTCTCTTTGGATTACTCGGGAACATACTCGCGCCGGTACTCGACCTCGGGGGTTGACATACCAGCATTCTCTTTTTACAGGCAACATAGGGTTGTCTGGGGACATTCTCTTTACATTCTCTTCATTCACTTTTGGCATTCTATTAAACAATAACACACATGCATTAATACAAGATCGGACACAAACATACTAAACTATTTTAAGAAAATATAGGATTTTCTTGTGATTACAAGGTTATACGAATCATTTTCTCAAACATGCTTATGAACTCACCAACATTTTTATGTTGACCTTTTTAAATTAACTTGTATTCTCAGGAAACCGTTGAAGCAGGTTGGGCTGAACAAACTAATGGATGTTTTGTTATATTCCTATTTCATCAGACTTTAATTATTTTGGCATGTAATATTCAAACACAATACTCGATGTAAACAATGTATGTTGTTATATTATATGTGTGGTGATGATGCTGTTATGTTTCAAATATATACTTTGTGATGATACTACAAGGATGAAGTCACGCGCAAGCACTTGGACGTTTCCGCCGTCTGGTTCGGGGGTGTGACAACGTAGGGGACAAAGGTTGAGATCAGGGATCACTATCCAGACTTGTTTGTAGCAATGGACTTCGAGGACGAAATTTGATTCAAGTAGGGGAGAGTTGTAACACCCGTGTTCCAGGTACCTTTCATTTTTGGCTTTAAGTATTATAATATTTGCAAAAACAGTCCTTACATGGGGCGTACCTTTTTGTACGCCGAGCGTAGTTCTTTAAGTGATGGCGGGGATGCTTTTGCGTACGATGGGCGTACTCACAAAGATTTCAGACCTTAATTTTTAGGGTTTGGACCCTATTTAAAGAATATTATGGCCTTGAACCCTCTCTTACCTCCAGCCTCCATCCCTCCTAGCCCCCATCTCCAAACCCAAATTCTTATGTGTGAGTTTTGAAGATCCTGAATGTTATTTTAGTGTCCTTGGTGGTGAAGGAAGATCCTTGAAGTGGTGGTGTTGCACTCAAGCTTTTGGATCTAGATTCTTTTCATCTTTGTGCATCTCTGGGAGGTATAAAGTTCAAATCTTGATGCTTGACTTGTTCGATCTAGCTAGGTTGCAAGTTATAGCCTTTTTGTCCAAAAACCTTGGTCCTATTAGTATAGTCTACTCTAGAACATTTGAGCTGCCCTTTTGGACATTTATGGGTGTTTCATGTCATAAAAATGCAAGCTTGGTCCTTTATATTCATCCATGAAAGAGTTATGGGGTCTTAGATGGTTTATAAGTTAGGGTTTTCAGTTTTGAGCTCCTTGTAGCCATACAAAGGCATAAAGTTTGCAACTTTATGGTTTTAGACGTTTATTAGGAGTAGATCTGAAGTTTAGACATTAAGTCTCAATGCAATAAGCTCTTAATGGGTATTTTAGACGTCTGAAGGGTACGCTAGGCATAACCCTAAGTACGTCGGGTGTACTGGGTTGCTGCCCCTTAAACCTTCTAAGTTGAAGTAGGGCATTTGAGCGTAAAAACAGTACGTATTGCGTACTCCCAGAAAACCCTATTGGGTCATTCTTGGGATTTAGGTCGTTAGGGGTTTTGGGCCTTGTATCCTTGGGTCATGCATAGGAAGGGAAAAATGGTATTTTTCCCTTGGAAGATAAATTATGATTTAGATCATTGATTATGGGTTAAAACATTGATTATTAATTAGGGATGTCTTTGGGTTTGATTAGTGTGAGAATTCGAGATAACAGCAGCTCGAGTGTGTGGTTCAGTTATCTTCGGTTAGAGGTGAGTCTTGTCATTGTGCTTGTGGGTCGAAGGCACCAATGTCGGCCCACCAGATTATTTATGTAGAATGCTAGCTGTTATATGACTTTTACATTATTATATGATTGGGTTGAAATAGACCCTAAGGTTAGGCCCTAGGGTTGGGCCCATTATTGTATGATTGGGGTGAAATAGACCCCAAGGCCCATGAGTATAAGATGGGTTGGAAGAAATCCCAAGGTTGGGCCTCAGGGCTAGGCCCATATTTGTGTATTGGGTTGGAATATACCTCATGGCTAGGCCTAGTTGTATGTTTGGTATTTGGTACTTTGGAGAACTCACTAAGACTTGTGGTTGCAGTTTTTGTTTATGGTTTCAGATACTTTCGGTATGAAAGAGAAGGGCACGACGTGATGGCACAACATCCTCCCCTCATGATTTCTTCACTTTTTGGATATTTGTACTCTGATATTTTGATATTTTATTTGGTGATTGATTTGACTTGGAGATATTTGGTGAATGAAACTATTGTTTTTAAAATGAAAAATTGTATCATTGTTTTTGGGTTGTTACAGACTAAAAGTCAAATCTGTCTAAATTTTTGGTTCTTACACTCCATGTTCTCTCGGTAACCAATTTGCCCAAATTGCAATAAAGTAACTAAGTTTATTGAAAACTTTTATTTTGACACCGTGTTTTTTTTCTTAATTATGCCATTACATTTATAATTTTGTTACATTATTATTATATTTCATTATATAAAAATAAGAAATATGAGATCTGTGTAGAATCAAAAAATCTCACAACACCTTCATAAACCAGTAGAAAAATCTAATGAAATTTTGGGTTAATCCAGTATGATTTATGTGATTTTAGAGCAACATTACAAGAGGAGGAAAAATCATTACATATCTTTTATAGATGATTGCAATAAGTATTGCTATATTTATTTGTTAAATACCAAGGATGACGCCTTGAATTCTTTTAAGAAATATAAGGTTGAAGTTAAAAATCAAATTAACAAAAACATCAAAATTTTAAGGCCGAAATGAGAAGGAGAATATGAGTCCAAAGACTTTGTTGAATTTTGTTCTTTACATGGTATTATACATCAAACAATTTCTTCATACACTCCTCAACAAAATAGAGTGGCCGAAAGGAAGAATATGACATTAAAAACATGATCAATTTAATGTTAATTACTTCTAGAACACCACATAATCTCTAGGGAGAAGCTTTCCTTGCAGGAAATTCAATAATTAATAGAAATCTTCATAAAAGAGTGATAAATCTTATATCATCTGTGAAAGGGAGATTACCCTCTTACAAAAGGATGAAAGTGTGGAGGTTCCCTTGCTAAGGTACAAGTACCTCTTCTCAAGTGAACCAAAGTTGTACCAAAAATCATAGATTTCATCTATATTGCCTCTGCCATGAATAGTGGAATGAACAATAACTAATGTTGGAAGGGTATAAGATGATGACTTCTTGATGTTGGCATTTTTTTTATGTTGCAGGATTAATGGGTTGGAGATGAAGAAGGGTTATGGTTCTGCAAATGGTGATAATAATGGATGAATGGTCGATTCGGTGGTAAGGGTGGTTGGTTATGGTGGTTTTGTTGTAGCTAAAAATGAGGAATAAGGATGGAAGAGGCTAATGATAGTGGTAGTATTGGTTCTGTGGTGGCTAGTGGTTTATGGAGCGGTTGGTATGGACATGAAGAATGTTTAAGATCCAAGTTATGGTTGATTAAGGTTGTTAATGTCATTATGGTGATGGAGGTCGATTTTTTAACTCCAGGAAATCCTCAAAAGGAGTTCAAGTCTATATATATATATATATATATATATATATATATATATATATATATATATATCTTCTAGATTCTATAGTTGACATTGCAATAAAATTGTAAATGTAATGACATAATTGAGACAAAAAAACATTGTGTCAAAATCAAAATTTTCAATAAATTTAGAGATTTTATTACAATTTGGGCAAATTGGTAATCGGAATAACAGAACGTGTCATTTGGTTGATATTGCAACAAAATTGTAAATATAATAATATAATTGAGAAAAAAAACACGGTTTCAAAATCAAAATTTCGATAAACTTAATGACTTTATTGCATGGTGCCCTTTTATTTAATTGTTTTTGCTTCTCAAATCAATTGATAGTTTAGTATCATGTATCGAAGAAAAAAATGTTTTAGATAGTATTAATAGTGATACGATTGTGGACATATATCAAGATCTTAGACCTCTTTAGGTACAATTGTAATAACTTTAAAAAATTTGCATATGACCCGACCACTACTAGTATTTTTTTAGCTATTTCATTTATATCGGGTTCACTTAAATAGTGACTCGTCTAGGTTTATATTCTAGACGCACCATTGACGTCAAGTACCGCATGTTGAGTTTCCATCACTTACATGTTTTATTATGACTTTCACTTGTGAGTGATTATGAGATCATGAAATATAGTTGTTTAATTGTCATACTAAATGTCTCCCTAGGCTATTTCATACATAACGAGCAACTCTTCACATGTGTTCAGAATAGGGGAAAAGGTTAGATAAAGCCTTATTGGGGGGAAATGGTTAGAGTTTATACTGAAATGATTAGATTATGTATTTAAAGTTTGTTTCTCATGTTATAATATGATAACCCTTGTATGTTTTTAATTAAAAGTTCCTAAGTGGTGAAAAGTTGGTTATTTGGGACCCCCCCCCCCCCCCGGGTCAAAATTACCCTTTTTTAAACTCACTGTTGCTATTTTGTACTATCATTCAAACAAATTATACACGAGGGGTGTTTCAGCAAACCAATCAAATAACAATTTAAATTAATATTTAAAGAACACACAAAACTTATTAAGAGGATATAAATTATCAATATTTAACTGTGTTCACAATGGTGCTTCAAATCACATGAAATGTAGAGATTATTAAAACAAATGCATGTTTTAGAATATTATTAAAGCAATTATTACATAAAGTAAAACAATTTCGGATAATTATAAAGCATGGCGCTTTACACATATAAAAATGAGAAGGGTCCGAGTCCTAGAGACCAAAGAGCTGCATAAGGACAGCTTTATGTAGGCACAATTTCTTGATCAACCTCCTCACCAAAATCCAATAAAGATATGGATTTTGGGTACCAAAGTAAGATCTTTCTTCTTCTTCTTCTTCTTGTTCTTCAAGTGCAGGTGTTGGTTGCTGAAACACAATTACTCTCATTATCAACATACAATAGCAATTTTAGTGTTAGTAGTTCGTTGAGGGGAAAAAGAGTGGTTAAGAGAAAACCCGTGGGAAGAAAAGGGTTGTTAGGGTGTGATTTGTACAAAGGAAGATGGATTGTAGACAATTCATATCCTGTTTATGTAGCTTCAAGCTGTCCTTACATTGATTCAGAGTTCGATTGTCTTAAACATGGTCGTTCAGACACTCAGTATCTCAAGTATGCCTGGAAACCAGATACTTGCGACCTCCCCAGGTTATTCTCTCTCTTTCTCTCTCACTAGAACCATTACCTTCAGCTACTTTTTGTAATAAATATTACATTTATTTCTTGTCTTTAAACTAACACAAGTTTCCCTTATGCGTAATTATTGCACATTAAAAGAAGAAACAAAAACAATGAAAAGGAGTAACACTTTTGCAATAAATATAACTCGTTATTATTCTCTTTATCTTTCGTTTTCATTTACACGACAACATTATTTCAAATCAACTACAATTCCATCTAATTGTTCTGTTTGAATATTCTGTATACATGACCGTTGTCGTTTGTTTCATGTGTTGAACGTTTGACTCGTAGATCAAGACGATGACTAATTAACATATATACCATTCTTCATTAATCATTCAAGACATTTTAGCTTTATATATATATATATATATATATATATATATATATATATATATATATATATATATTTTTAGAACGGCATATAGGAGGACTGCTAGGCTAGAAGCCCTCCATAACGTGAAAACTCTCGAAATGGTTTTATATTTGTATATAATAACTGAATTGTGATGGAAATGGATGTAGGTTTAATGGGGTGGATTTGTTGAACAAATGGAGAGGGAAGAAGGTGATGTTTGTGGGTGACTCACTGAGTCTGAATCAGTGGGAATCGTTGGCATGTTTGCTTCATGCGTCGGTGCCCAATTCCAAGGCCACTTTTCTCCATAGAGACGGCCTTACTTCCCTCGCTTTTCAGGTCTCTCTCCCTTCTTTTTTATTCTTTTTACAATATATATATATATATATATATATATATATATATATATATATATATATATATATATATATATAACATGATAGTGCATGGTAAAAAGTTAAATGACTTGATAAAATATTAATTATTTTTTCTAATAATGTCATTTAGTTATTTTATAATTATATGTGATTATGAGTGTTGTTTACGTATTTGAAAATAATCGTATTTACCTACTGGAGGGAGCACACTTCTCCGGCGGGCCCAAAAGCCGCACCGACGGCTGCAAAAAGCATGGGTAGTGGGAGAAGTGGTGGTTCCGGTAGATGTCTAATTGTCAACTATAGAGACAATTTTGCTTATGTTGCTTATGTTTGTTTGTGTTTGGATATGTCTCTTTCATGTCACATCCGCATTAAAACTTTATTACAAATTCTTTCCATAATCAACTATTTAAATATTGTTTCTTAAATATCTACTTTACATGGGTTTTCTACAAGTTTTCATTTTAAAAATGTACGAATCTTAATGCATATATTTGATGTCTTTGAAAATTATTTAATACCAAAAGCATGGTTTTGTGCTTTACGACTTTTTTTTGAAATAAATCTACCAAAATCAAATAATTCGAAAGAAAAGATAAAAGGGTTTCAGAAGCATGTTCCCAATGTAGAAGGTGTAAAGAAACAGCATCAAAAAGCGAGTGATTCCCTTGAATTTGACAGTGGTTCTTGTGATATATCATGAGGTCCATTTTTGGATTTTTGTAGTCAATAACGTGGCATGTGACCAATCTCAAACATTGTCATAACGTGCACAAAACATCAATCATAAAAACAAACCTCATAAATAAAATTCCTACTACATTTTGATAACTTATTTAAATATAAATAAATTAAAAAAATCATATTTAAATTTTACACAGATTTTAAAACAATCATCTTTTCTACCTCATTTTATACACAGGATTATGGTGTGACGATATACCTGTATCGCACGCCATATTTGGTAGACATTCAGAAACAAAGTATAGGGAATGTTTTGAATTTGAATTCAATTCAAGGAGGTGATACATGGAAAGGGATGGATGTGCTCGTGTTCAACTCCTGGCATTGGTGGACCCACACCGGAGATTTACAACCGTATGATTTTTATGTAATTTTTTTTTATCTATGTATCGTATATTGAGTTTGTGATATATGATATTTTTGGGCATTTCGTTACAGATTTGACTATATACAAGATGGGTCAACCATCATGAAAGATATGGATCGTTTAGCAGCATATTATAAGGGCATGTCGACGTGGGGAAGATGGGTTGACCTTAACGTTGACCCATCGAAAACTAAAGTATTCTTTCAAGGAATCTCTCCTACACATTACATGTAAGTACATCCGACATTAAGGCTTCGTTTTTCCTCATAAATAATGTTTATTTTGAAAAAGGAAAATATGTATATATAAGGTCGAATTTGTAAAGAGTAAGGACTTAACCGAACATTTTTGCTCATAAAAAGTTTTTGGAGACAATGTAATCTGTCAACTAAATTGGTATATGACGGAATTCACAAAAAATGGAACGAGGCTTATCAATAAAAATTGTTTAATTTCTATATTTTCATTTACAGTTAGATTTTTGTAGTTTATTTATTTTAATATATGTATAATGACGGTATTTTGGTTTTTTAATAAAAAATATTGAATAAAATACATTTAACCCAATCCAAGGGAACAATAAATCCATCAAAAATGAGATTTAAAAAAATACGACCCAATTGAATTATGTGCCATTGACAATCAAACACGTCACGGAATGAATCTTAAATTCTAATTTTTGTGATCCAAACATGCCCTCATGTTCAGGATATCTTCTTTGCTGAGTCTTATATTTTGACACATGTCAAAAAAAAAAATTATATATATATATATATATATATATATATATATATATATATATATATATATATATATATATAATTTTTTTTTTTGACATGTGTCAAAATATAAGACTCAGCAAAGAAACAACAATACTTAACTGATATAATCATTTACATAAATTATGGCTTTAATCATAAAATCCTAAAGATCATAAGATTTTTACCAAGACAAATTCTCTCAACATTGTATGCACATTTACGACAATGCAATTGTCATTTACAACAAATTTGATTATATTCTTGTAACATATTACCAAATTGACATGATATATATTAAAAGGTGTTTATTTGATAAAATCTATAGGGGAAAGGAATGGGGATCATCATCAAGAAATTGTTATGGGGAATTACAACCGATAGAAGGATCATCATACCCAACAGGCTTACCCGAAGCTCAGGTTGTTCTAAACAAAGTCCTAAGTAATGTAAAGAAACCAGTTATTTTGCTCGATATCACAACATTGTCTCAATTGAGGAAAGATGCACATCCTTCATCTTATAGTGACTCGGGTGTGGATTGCAGTCATTGGTGTGTTCCCGGGTTACCCGATACTTGGAACCAACTTATGTATGCATCTTTCCTCACATGATCAATAGGTAAATTTGGGTCATATATGATTTATTTGTATACACAATGAAAACATTTGCAATGAAATGCAATAAAGCAAAAAGAGGGGGTGATTGATTTTATTTGAAGCAAACTTTTTTTTTTTTTTTTGCACTTTTTATCATGTGTAATAATAGTTATTGTCAAAGCCAAAAAGCATGTCAATCTTATTTGCTACTCATTTATTTATGATGAAATATAATTTTAAATTCTAATTTTTTTTTCTATAGATGTTCCATATTGGTTGTAATCAAAACATGACAGGCTAACAAATGAGTAGAGTGGTCCACCTCGTTCTTATTTTTGGTTAGGGTTTAGGATTGTAAGTTGAGAAGGCAGGTGGTAGGTTAGACGACCCATGTGAAGATGCATGAACAAGACACCTGTTAAAGGAAAACAGGTGGATTCAAGATTTTTTAGAAGATTATATATTATTATTATATTATTATAAAAATTATTTTTCAAAGGACAAGTTATCACAATAATTTTGTTTTATTTTTATTTATTTTTTTGCTTACCCAATAATTCTACCTTGCTTTCGTCATGAAGTTTGAAAAGTATAACATAAAAGTCCAATTTTGTTTAGTTTTGTAAATTTTATTTTAAGTATGTCGATTTTATAGCATATCAGCATGAAATCTCTAATAGATAGGAAATTACATCTATCTTACTCAATTTTAATAGGAGCCCAACTGAAGATTGGAGATCTTTGTATAACATATAGTAATAGTACACACACTATTCTTAAATCAAAGAAATATTGTTCATAATTAGTACCAATAAAATTATACATACAATATCAGACCCTGTTGACTTATAGATGGAACTAGAAAAACTCAATTTATATTACCAAATAGTACAAACTTTTGTATAGAAAATGTTTTATTTTCTCCGAAGTCTAATAGAAAATTACTAAGTTTCAATGACATATTTCAAATGATATGACACAAAAACTATAACCATTGAAAATAAGAAATATATGTATATTATAGACAAAAATCATGTGCTTGAAAAACTGCCAACAGTTGATTCTAGTTTATATTACCAAATACTACAAGCTTTTGTATAGAAAATGTCTTATTTTCTCCGAAGTCTAATAGAAACTTACTACATGTTTTAAACGATATGACATAAAAACTGTGACCACTAAGAATAAGAAATATATATATATATATATATATATATATATATATATATATATATATATATATATATATATATATTATAGACAAAAATCATATGCTTGAAAAACTACCAACACTTGATTCTAGTTTGTATTACACATATATACATATGATTAAATCAAATATTGTAATCAAAGAAAAACATTGTGATCAATGGACATTCAGTTTATGGCATGATAGATTGGGCTATCGAGGATTAACAATGATGTGAACAATAATTGAGAATACACATGGGTATCCATTGAAGGACCTGAAGTCCCCTCAATCCAGTAACATAAGATCATGTACATTTTGTTCCCTTAGAAATTTATTATAAAACATTCTCCAATGAAAGTTGAAAGAGAGTCACCTAGATTTCTTGAAAGAATTCAAGGTGATATATTTGGACTGATTCATCCACCATCTGGACCAACACTTGATTCTAGTTTGTATTACACATATATACATATGATTAAATCAAATATTGTAATCAAAGAAAAACATTCTGATCAATGGACATTCAGTTTATGGCATGATAGATTGGGCTACCCAGGATTAACAATGATGTGAACGATAATTGAGAATACACATGGGTATCCATTGAAGGACCTGAAGTCCCCTCAATCCAGTAACATAAGATCATGTACATTTTGTTCCCTTAGAAAGTTAATTATAAAACATTCTCCAATGAAAGTTGAAAGGGAGTCACCTAGATTTCTTGAAAGAATTCAAGGTAAATATATTTGGACCGATTCATCCACCATCTGGACCATTTAGATACTTTATGGTCCTAATAGATGCATCCAACAAATGGTCTCATGTTTGCCTATTATCAAGTCGTAATATGGCATTTGCAAAGTTTCTTTCTTGAATTATTAAACTAAGGGCACATTTCCTTTATTATACTATCAAAAGAGTGGGCCTTAATAATGTTGGTGAATTTACTTCACACGCATTTAATGACTATTGTATGTCTGTAGGAATTGTTGTCGAGCATCCAGTTGCTCATGTACACACACACACACAAAACGAATTTAGCTGAATCACTGATTAAACATCTCCAGCTAATAGCTAGACCATTGATAATGAAAACCAAACTTCATGTTTCTGTTTGGGGTCATGCAATCTTACATGTTGGATCAATGATACGCATGAGGCCAAGTTGATATCATGTATATTCTCCCTTCCAACTTGCTTTTGGTTAAGAGCCAAATATATCCCATCTGAGAATTTTTGGGTGTGCAGTATATGTCCCCATTACACTATCACAACAGACAAAAATGGGTCCTCAAAGAAGGTTGGGAATATATGTTGGTTAGAGTCAGTATCTACTATAAGATATCTTGAACCTTTAACAGGTGATGATGTTTTTACATCATGCATAGTCGATTGGCAATTTGATGAGGCAAATTTCCCACCATTAGGGGAGAAAAGAAAATTCTAGAAAATGATGTTTCATGGCATGAACCTTCCTTATAATATCTTGACCCTCGCATAAAGTAATGTGAAATGGAAGTTCAAAAGATAATGCATTTTCAAAAATGGCAAATCAGTTCTCTGATGCATTTACTGACAGAAAAAGGATGATTAAATCATATATACCAGTTGTCAATGTTCCAGCTCGAATTGAAATTTCATATGGACAACCTGATGATAAAGTTACTCAAGAGTATAAAACACACCTGGAGTGTGGAAGGCTATTTGGTTCTAAGGATAAAAATCATTGGGAAAGAAGAAGAGCAGAAAATGCACTAGATCATGACGAAAATGTTACTGGACCAACCCGAACACACCAACCCAACCCGATAAAAAGTAGGTTGGGTTAAGATTTTCAACCCGTTTAATTAAACTCGTCAACTCGTTTGACCACTTTAATTAAATGGGTTGGGTTAGGGTTGAAATTCTCAACCCGTTTAAAAGTTTTAAATAATTTTTAATTTATATTAATTTAATATTATTATTTTAATTGATTATTAATTTCCTAACGGATTGTTTTTAAATTATTTTATTTATCCAAGAGATCTTTGGTTACTTTGTATTACTAGGTGACTTTTCATCTTCACACGTATCATATTCCTCTGTAACCAGTATGTAAGCACAACACAAGTAGACAACAATTTTTCAGTTTCCTTTGGATTCATTTCCTTCTCAAATTTCATGCCAAACACTCAATTTTTCTAACCTTAATTTTTGATGCTCTATCACTTACAATCACACCTGTTAACAACTTAGCTACAAGCCAAGGTCGAACCCTAGCAACGGAATTGTCATTCACCAATCGTCGTATTATTAATCTTATGAAGCATTAAGCTTTTTGGTTCAATCTTAATGTCTAATATTTGATTTTTTTTTCTATTTAGGATGAATATAATGGAAATATCAGAAGATGATGATATTCAGTCTCCTACACCTCCACCAAAGCCAAATGACACAAGGAAAAATAAACAAGTAAATCCAAATAACTCAAGTGTTGACGCCAAACGTCCTCGGAAACTAACATTTGATGTTTGCCCCACTATGAATTTCTCAAACGTGATGAAAAAGTTGAAACTTATTGTTAGTGTAAAAAGTGTGGTAAGGTTTATAATGTTGAAAGTAGAATGGGTATTGGAAATTTGAAACACCATATACAAAAATGAAAAAAAAATGATTCAAGGATGTTGGCTAGATGATATTAGATGGTAGTGGTAGTGGTGGCTCTTTGACTAATAGGATTCCTGATTGTAATCCTTCTAGATTTCATGAATTATTAACTATAGCTATTGTGAGGCATGATTTTCTATTTCAATTTGTAGAATATGAGGGCATTAGACGATGTTTCACTTATTTAAATCATGAAGTGAATCTTGTTGCAAGGAATACAATAAAATCAAAAATATGTTTGGGATTGAAAAGTGAAATATTAAAGGTTTGTTGACTTGTACCCCAGGTAGAATATGTTTAACATCTGATTGTTGGACATCTATAACCATTAATGGTTATTTATCTTTAACAACTCATTTCATTGATAGTTCTTGGTGCTTGCAAAAACTAATCCTTAATTTCAATTTTTTACCTCCACCACACACCAATCTTGCTATGAGTAATCATGTTTTAGTCTTTTAAAGGATTGGGGAATTCAAAAAAAAAAGTGTTTTCAGTTACTTGGATAATGCTTCTTCCAACGATGTGATAGCTGATTTTATTAAAAGTGAAATTGATTTGCTTTCGGAAGGTGCATACTTTCATGTGAGGTGTTGTGCACACATCTTAAATTTAATTGTGCAAGATGGTTTGAAAGAGTTAGATGATGCTGTAATAATGGTTAGAGAGAGCATAAAGTACTATAAGGGTTCTCAATTAAGGAAGAAAAGGTTCAAAGATAGTGTTGCATATATAGAGTTACAATTATCTAAGGGTTTAAAGCAAGATGTTCTCACTCGATGGAACTCCATCTATATGATGTTAGAATCTTTTTTGTACTACAAAAATGCATTTATTCATTTGCAAAACTAGATGCTAACTATTCACATTGTCCAACAAGTGAGAAGTGGGGTAAAATTGAAAGAATTTTCAAGGGTTTAAAGGTTTTCTATGAGGTGACGTGTGCTTTTTCTAGTTCTAAGTATACTACTAATCTTTATTTTGCCAATGCTTTGATGGTTCGAGTGTTGTTACACAAAGAAAAAGACAACCATGATAGGTTTATGAAAAATATGGCTACAAGGATGTACACAAAATTTGAGAAGTATTGGGCTGAATTTAGCACGGTTATGGCAATTGTTGTTGTTTTGGATCAATGATATAAATGTTAGATCGTTGAATGGAGATATGAGAAAGTGTATGGGGTTGGGTACACCTCTAAGTTGTCAATAATAAAAGACAAATTGTTTTCGTTTTTCAATGACTATGTGGACGAGTCAATTTTGAATAAAGGCAAAAACAGTCAAGCCAAGAGCATGCCAGACTCTCACAAAGAACTTCATGATGACTTAGATGGAGCTTCTTCTTCACTAATGATGGTAAGTTCTTTGCTATTAATTTATTATTTTCATGACGACGCACAGTTTATATGACTAGTTCCAGTCCGATGTCATTGGCCGCGTACCAATAACACCAGACTGGGGGACTTGATGATATATGGTCCACTAGCCTGGCCTAGACTGCTCTAGCACGCCAGCCTGGCCTGGCGCGCTCCTGCCAGCTCTGCCTGGCGCTCCCTTGCCAGCCTTGCTGGGGACTCCCTTGCCAACCCTGCTAGGGACTCTCCTGCCGGCCCGGCCAGGCGCTCCCTCGCCTGGCGCTCCCCTGCCATCCTTTCCTGGTGCGCGCCCGCCAGCCTTGCCTGGGGCGCGCCCGCCAGCCCCGCCCGGCGCCTCCGGGCGGCCTTGCCTAGCTCATTGCTAGTTGGGCCTAAATTGGGTTGGCCCAAGGCCTGACCTAATTCCCCTTGACCTAATTGTCCCCTATATAATGAATAGTATCTCCTCCATGAAAGGGGGACCTTTCCCTAGACTTCCACCATGGCTCAGCCGCCACACTACACTCCGGCCGGGTGGCTCAGCCGCCACCCGCCGCCGTCAGCCACCATACACCACCACCAGCACCAAGATGGTTCTCTCTAGCTATGGAGGACCATCTCAGATCTTCTAGCTGATCTAACTTGACCGTCAGAGTCCGCTCCCGGGGCACAGTCCCTGGGGCGGCTCTAACGACTTTGCACTGTGATGCCCAGATCTCCGCCGCAGCAGAAGACCAGTAGATCCGCCGGAGGTCGATGTCGCATCATTTGGCGCCATCTCGGATTCGAGCAAGTAGCAAAAGCCTTAGTTGCTTTCAAGCTCGTTTTTCTCTCAGATATGTTCATATCTTTTGCATTTCGCATCAGGTTTGCTCAGATCTGTTTATTTCTAGCACTATTTGGTTCAGATCCGTTTGGCTTTAGCCAAGATCTGCTCAAATCGATTTGGTTCTTGACAAGATCTTTTCAGATCTGTCTAACCATCGTTTAGATCTCTTGATCTGCTGAGTTTTATGATATGTTTGAGTTTTCTCTCTTAGATCTTCATATCTGCATTGTTTTTTGCTCGGATGTCTAGATATGTTTTGTTTTAGTTCATTTGAGCAACCCTCAAGTCTTAAAAAGACTTTATCAGATCTTATTTTCGTCTATTTTGATAGATTTTTCAGAAAGTTGGGGAGAAAAGAGATTTCTATGAGTTTTTCCCCATCTTGTTCATATTTTCGAATTTTATTCACCAAGTTGAAGAACAAACAATATTTACAAGTCTTTACCTCTTTTGTTTGCTCATCTTCAAGTAAATCGGTTTTGGTTTCTGATTTCTCATGTACAACTTCATTCAAGTTGTTTAGCTGATGCTTCCCCTAGAAGCTTAGAGATGGAAAACAGAAGATTTTCAGATCTGTTGAGCAAGCTAAAGAGTAAAGAAGGTTTAGTGAGGACAAAACTTTGTTAGATCCATTTCGTGTTTAGTTCAGATCTATGGATCTACATGATTTTCTTCACTCAAATTCTCCCCAAATATGCAAAAACTTTCTTAGATCTGTTTTTTGTTTATACCTTGGGGGCTTGTTTCAGAAGAAAAGAAGTTTTATGAGTTGTCACTCATATTTTTTAGTTCATAGAATCATGAGAAAACTTGAATTTTTACACCACTTTTTATATTTTTGGTGTTCTTTCTTTAGAAGCTCAGAGAAGAGAAACGAAATTTTTTACAAATCTGCTCTTGCTTACACCTTGATAGTTTGTTGAGCAAGCTGAAGAAGGAAAGAAAGTTTATGAGAAAAAAAACCCCTTCTCAGATCTGTTCCTTTTTTATATTCTGAGGATTTGTTCAGCAAGTGGGAAGAAAAGAAATTTTTAAGAGTTTTATTTCAGTTTATATATCGTTTTTAGCTATGATATTTTGAATGCAATCCCACCTCTCTAACAATTATTTGTACATACAGCTATGTAGCTTGTACATTTTACAAAACTCTTCAGAAAAAAGAAAAGAGAGAGAAGAGGTTCTTTATGGGTTTTATACCACTTTCAGTTTGTATATCTTCAAAAAATCACATTTAGTTCATGATTTTCTGTATATAAGTTTACACAAGTTATTTAGAAGCTTGAATGAAGAAATAAGTTTCTATGAATTTTTTACCCTCTTAAAATTTCAGAAAACTCATTTTCATCCTAGCTCAGTTTTGTCATTCTTTTTAATGACTTGCTAAGAAAGTTGAGAAGAGAAAAGTGTTTATGGGTTTTATCTTATTTCAATTTATTTAGATGATTTATTCAGCAAGTTTGAGGAAAGAAAAGGTTTGTTCAAGTCATAATAAATGAAAGTTACTTTTACCCAATAGTTTACCATTCCAGTTAATGATTGTCGGAAAAAAAAAATCGTTTTACAGTTTTACAGTTCGCATATACAACAGTTGTATAGAATAATTATTACAAAATGGTCTTGATGCTCTTTGTCTACCCTAAGCCGACAAAAAAAAAAGAGGGGGTAAGGGTGCACAGTGCACCAGAGACAATGCTGTCAACAAAATAAAAAGCCCGTGTGGGACCTACGTGGTCCAATCCTCAATAAACAGAAAAGACAAAAAAGTCAGGGACCCACCCAGTCAACACTCCTTCGGACAGTCAAAGAGATCCCAAATAAATCCAGACTTAGTCGCCTCGATCCCGATGAGCAGAACCCGAGCGTTGTCGGTCGATGATCTTGGCCCCCTCACCGCAGTGACTCCAACATCACGCCTCAAGCTGGTCGCCACCGGCCCCAACGAAGCACATCTAGAAGCCATCGCGTGCCACCCGACCAGAACCACCCATCAGCCATAGTAGCCTCAGCACCATCGCCACCAGTAGCGGTTTCTGGCCAGTCGTTTCCTCCGATCAGCGCCTTTTGCTCAACAACAGATATCAAAGCAATCACCCACAAACGAAACCATAACACCAATCGTTTCCAACTATCATCCATGATATTCCTGGCCGCTCCCAACCAGTCAATCACCTCCGAGACGACAACAGCGCCATCGATAAGTGTCCTGCTATGCCGCCTACAGCCAGCGTCATTTACAAGATCCAGCGTCGCCATCACGATTGCATCCAAACTCCGGTGAACCAGCCCGATCGTCAACACATTGCAGAACCGACGACCCGCCGGATCCGTATCGCCGCCTGATTACAACTCGCCGGAGAAAAAGGACGCCCCAATTCCCCTAGTCGCCGAGCTCAGACAAACAACACACAAAATGGGGCTTCATCACAAAAAATTACCACCGTTGAACCACCAGGACCATTCGTCGACCAATGTTCTTCACACACGACCGCCACCAGCCGAAGCTACACACCACAGGTGTTACCAGAAATCGCTGCCTCGATCTCCATTTTCAGTGAAGGACCTCCTGCGAAGAACCACTGTAACCCCTCAACTCTGAATCAAAGAATCTCCAATCGCCACCCATTTTTAGCAACGGCAACCTCAAGCACAGCGCCTCCGGTGAGCTCGCTGCTGTGATCTCCAACGAGGAACCACACCCACCGGGCAACCTCCAATCGTACAACAGTCCCAACACCGCCCACCAGAAAGCTCGAATCTCCAGCCAATAATCGCCAGTTGCCTCCAGTGTCG